CATGGTCTAATATTGTTCAGTACCCTTAAGAATCTCAAGGCACCCCATGGTGCTGCATCACCCTGATTTGGAAGTCACTGTTTTGGAGTCTAAACTGGTCCCATTTGAACTGATGCCAAAAGTCTGCAAGCTAAGTTTGCAAGCTCTTGTCAGCATCACTGTCTCTAGGCAAAAGAAAGTCTTGTGCCTCCACTTACCTCTCAAGCACTGAACTATGCACAGTCACTTTGGAATTCTTAAAAGCAGTAATAAAGGGCTAACTCTGAGAGAGGGATGAAACTTGGTCCCATCTTCTTTCCAAGTGCAGACATTGTCTCATTTAGTGTCAGGTAAACTGAAAACAATTCAAGGCAAGTATGTCTTTGCTCAATGCATCATCAGCCTGTAGAAGTCACTACAAACAGCTTGAGATGAAGAAAGCTGCAGGATTCAACTGGACTTGGATGTCTTGGGGGTTTTACATGCAACAGTAATGGCAGTTAAGCCTCATGTTTTAGGCTGAGGACAAAAGCTGCATGTAAACATGTTTAAGTGATCAGGAACTGGTTTAAACCTATAACAGAACAGACATTCAGTGCTCTTAAGCCACTTTCAGCCACAACATGGCTGAAACTTATTTTAAATAAACCTGGATAGATGTAGTATCAGGTTTACTGATTTAAGTCAAACCAGTTTATGGAACTTCTGCCCCAGATCCCCTCCCAATTCAACTTAATTTGCAGTCCTCCAGCATCCTAGGATGCTGTGCAGCCCTGGGCTGTGCTTTCTGCTCCGGCAGGGCAGGGCAGGGCAGGGCAGCCCTGCCCCAACTGTAAGCGGGGTGCTCTTTCATCCCCCACAGCCAGGAGCTTGTTGGATTTCCTTGCCCTGCCCCCTCCTTGGCCAAGGTAATTAGCCTAGCTCCCAGCTGGGGTTGGGAGAGTAAAGCTCCCACTGCAGGCTTCCTCCCCATGATGGGCCAGCCCAGCTGGGGATCTGGAGCTGGCCAGAGGGTTTTTGCCCCCTCACGCCCTGCTTAGCCAGCCCGCAGCTGGGGAGGGGGTGTGGCTGGGTGATCACCCTGGCATCCAGCTTAGGCAGCGGGAGTAAAGACCCCACTGTGGGCTCCACCCCTGTGCCAGGCATGGGCCAGCTGGGGGTCTGGAATGGGGGGAGGGAGAGGCTGTTTTCCCCACCAGTTCCCTCCTTGGCTGGCCAGCTGGCTGGGGAGGGTGTGTGGCCAGGTGATTGTCCTGGCTCAGGTCGGGGGAGTAAAACCCCTCACTTTGGGCTCCCCCCACCCTGCACCAGGCACAGCCCAGCTGGGGGTGGGGAGGCTGTTTTCCCCCCTCCCCCCACTTCTTCCTCAGTGGGGTGATCACCTTGGCTCAGGTGGGGGGGAGTAAAGCCACTATGGGCTTTCCTGTAGCTGGGAGCCAGGGCAGTCACGTGGCCATGCCCCTCCCAGGCTGGTGGCCTGGCTGAGGAGGGAGTAGGGGGGGGAAGGCCCCCCCCCCACCTGGCTCTGGCCCCCAGGTGGGCTGTGCCTGGCATGGGTGGGGGTAGCCCACAGTGGGGGCTGTTTTTCCCCTCACTTCCTCAGCTGGCTTGCCGGCTGAGGACGGGGCATGGCCAGTGGTTGCCCTGGCTCCTAGCTGCAGGGAAGCCCACAGTAGGGCCTTTACTCACCCCACCCAAGCCGGGAGCTGGGGTGATCACCTGTTCATGCCCCCTCTTTGGCTAGCAGGCCAGCTGAGGAGTGAGGGGTGGAGTGGGGGAAGGCCTCCACTGCCTGCTGCAGAGTACAGGGAGAAGCGGCCCCTTGCCTGCCCCGTGGCCGGCGCTCCCTGCTGCAGCCACTTGCAGCCCATGCAGGGCTGTCCTGAGCAGGTACAGGCAGCCCCACGTGGGCTGCGAGTGGCTGCAGCGCGGAGCCCCGGCCACAGTGTGGGCAAGGGGTCGCTTTTCCCCTGCACTAAGCACCAGCTTGTAACCCAGCCCCTGTGCTGGCTCTGGTCTTACCCATCGGGTTTGCACTGCGGCGGCCACCACTGCTCCCCCCCGCCCCACCCCGTGGGCAGGCAGCAGCAGCAAACACTGCCGGGCGCGGCAAGCGTGGGGGCTGCAGCTGCTGCTGCCATGTGCAGCCACAACAGGCGAGCCCAGAGCCGGCGCAGGGCCCAGGCTGGCTGTGGGGGTGGGTTACAAGCTGGTGCTGAGTGCGGGGAGGAAAAGCTGACCTATGGCCGGCACCCTGCACTGCAGCCACTCGCGCCCACCTGGGACTGCCTGTGCCTGCTCAGGACAGCCCCGTGCAGGCTGTGAGTAGCTGCAGCAGGAAGCGCCAGCCACGGGGTGGGAGAGGAGCCGCTTTTCCCCGTGCTCTGCACCAGCTCCTTCCCTGCTGGCGAGCATGCATCAAGTGTTTCTGGCTCCTGGAGACCTGGATCTAATGAAACAGTGCTGTGGAACAGGAAATTTGGATTTCTAGACAAAACATGCATGTTAAATTATCTAGTTCAATTTGTAGTAAATAATTTTTATGTATGGAGTAAGAAAAAGTCTAAGATCTTCATCTTGCAAAGACCTATGAATGTGCTTTACTCTAAGCACGTTATTAGTTCCGTTAAACTAGTTAGTGGGTTTAAGGGGGGTGTTACACATTACAATTAGCACATTCTAACTAAGGAATTTTAGTGTTATGAGCAGCCGCATGTTAAGGATTAATACCCTCCGTAACATGCACTGCACTGACCTGCCCCTACAGGGCTGGCAAGCTGAGGTGTGGCTAGGGGCTGTAATTTTGCTCCATGCCTTCCCTTCTCGCTAGCTGTCTAGGGCAGTTTAGGCTCCAGGATTGGGGTCCTCCTAGCCCCCTTCCCCCCTGGATCAGGGCCTTAGGGCCTCTCCCATCATCTGGATCTGGGCCCCTCAAGCTTCCCCCTGCCCCAGGTTGAGGTCCTGCTAGCCCTCCCTCTGGCCTGATCAGGACCCTTCAAGGCCCCCCACCTGCTCCTCAGCCCCAGAAGACTCACTTACCCCCATGTTCCTTGGGGACCCCCATCTCTCTTCCTATACTGGTGCCCTGCTTGCCTGTGCTGCTGGCACTGTCCTGGCTGCAGCCAGGGAAGGGAATCCTGCCCACCTGATGCTACTGCCATTGCCCTCCAGGCTGAGCCCAGCCCCTGGAGGCTGCTGTGGGTGAGTGGGGCACCCCAGGGAGTAGCAGGTGAGTGGCTCCTAACCTGGGTGAAGGGGGAGAGCTGGTGGGGCCCCAGTCTGGGTTGGGGGGCCCTGCCAACTCCTTCCTTCCGCCCAGACTGGGGCCTTGGGAGGAGCAGGAAGACAGGAGGAAAAGGAACCTGTGGAGCATGGAAAGGAAAGAGCGAGGGTTCTTCCTTCTGTGACTCCCCTGCTTCTTGCTCTCCCTGCTGTCACTCTGAGCAGGGTAGAGCATTCACTGGGAGTGGTGTCTTCTGAGATGCTGGGGGATTATTCCCAACTAGAATTAGACCTATGGAGCAGTCTCAGAGGATGACTGCAACATGAGCTCCCTAACCCCTTCAGGTGAGGATTATCTTCAGAAGAGGACTATCTCTGAGACCGGCAGAGTACTTAGCTCATCTTTTCCTGCTTAACCTGTGGACACTCCTATTTTTAAGAGCCTTTAACATGTGTAACCACACACTAATATGAGTGAAGCACAGGAATAAGTCCTTGCAAGACCATGGCCCAAATTTGCTATCTAATGGTGTGAACTATCCTCTGTCCAGGTACAATATTGAATTTTTCTGTGTCCGCTTGTATCATGCTGTTAGTGCCCTACTCAACTGAAAATTGTGGTGTGGTAGATGCTGAAACTGTAAAGAATTTGTACTAAAATGAAATTTCTTTTGTTTATTTTCTTTCTATTTCAGATTGATTGCAATGTCTCACTGCATTGGTCTGTTATCCATTGCTGCTAAATTCAGTTTGCTGTTTTTTCTGCTTTCTGCAGTGTTTTTGTGTTCAAGCTTAAGTGACAGAAATCCAGTAAGTATCTATTAATTTAACAGTGAAAGGTGGTTATAAAAGGGCAGTTAAGTCATTTGAATTATTGGATACCAGTGGGATGAAAATAGCCTTATGTATTCTCATGAATTAGGTGTATGACATACATGGTAGGGCATCACCTCTCAACTTTTCAGTGTTACGTCACTTTTAAATATTTTATGGTAAAGTTTGTGACAACCTTGTCCCTTAACACCTGTTAAAGTAATTTCTACATCACCTCATACTAAACAGTAAAGAGAAGGATGTGGAATAGGCAATAGGATCTGGGCTACCCTCATATTTTGCCCTGTGCACCATTAAAAAAATAATTTAAACAGTAGAAAATGAAACTTCAGACCCCTTTTGACAAGTGCCAAAACTAAATATGTGGTCTAGAACTGAAGAGAGGGGATGGGAGTAAAGACTCCTAAATTATATTTTCAGTTGTGCCTCTGATCCCTGTGTAACTATGAGCAAGTGATTTAGTTTCACATTTTCAGAAGCAACATCTAATTTAGAGCCCTAGCTTTTTTGTGGGAGATACTGTGAGCCTGATTTTTAGACTTCAGTTGAAGTGGATGGATGCTGTGTGTACTTGGTGCCTCTGGATGTATGTAAATTTAAGTGACCATGTCATATCTGTACAGTTGCATCTGTCCTCCAGGATTGGTGTTAGACTTTAATTTAAAATTAATGTTTGTAAAAGAGCTTTTTGAGATTCTTGGATGAAAGATACTGTAGACATTTTTTTTTTTAACTTACTGCTATATACTCAAGGCCATAGTGAAATAAGGCCCTGGCTCTTCAAGTCCTGTGATGGCATTATAATCTCAGTTTTGACTTGCAGAAAAAATGTCTGATCCTTTTGGACAGTTTGAAGATGAGACCCGAGTGTAACAAATACAGTGATGTCTTGCCTGAGTTTGCAGATAGCCTGACCCATTAAGTCAGAAAGGGGTGAATGGCTCTTTCATTTTAATGGACTATTCAGCTCTAAAATTTAGTGTCCTGAGGTTCCTTGACACACCAACCCAATAAAAGACTGGAAAAGGGCATCAGTGGCATCAGGTCATTATAGCTCTGCAGCAGAGTCCTCTGCACTTTTGGGTCTGAGGGAGCAATTGTTTTTCTGAAATGGATTTGTAGGTACTTTCCACTCTAAACCCAGTTTAATGCAGTGTATTTTTTTAAATCCCAAACCACGGCTTATAGTTTCATAGTTTCTAGGGTCATAAGGGACCTGAACAGATCATCAAGTCCGACCCCCTGCCCTAGGCAGTAAGGAGTTCTGGGATCATAATACCCCAGCCAGATATCTATCCAACCTCCTCTTGAAGACCCCCAAGGTAGGGGAGAGGACCACCTTTCTTGGGAGCCCATTCGAGAGCCTGGCAGCCCTAACCGTAAAGTAATGCCCCCTGATATCAAGCCTGAACCTGCTCTCAATCAATTTGTGGCCGTTATTCCTTGTTATTCCAGGTGGTGCCCAGGGGAACAGAGCCTCACCTATTTTCTGTTGGTCCCCCCTGGTGAGTTTATAGACAGCCACCAGATCCCCTCTCAGTCTTATCTTGTGGTGGCTGAATAGATTCAGGCCCTTTAGTCTATCTTTGTAGGGCCTGGCCTGCTGCCCCGTGACCATGCGCGTGGACCCTCTCAAGGTTAGCCACATCCCTCTTGAATGCGGTGTCCAGAACTGGACGCAGTACTCCAACTGCAGCCTGACCAGCACTTCTGTTTAGCTTAAAAGAAACTTCCATTTCTCTTTGTAGAATCTGTTTTTTCTACTGTTTTTGATTATCTAAACAAAACAAACTAGTCCCCAGTTAATGATGCAGTTTGTCATTATATTGTTGATGTAAACAAAGTACTGCTTGTGCGCTTTTGCACATTTTTGTTACTGCATCAAACATTAATGGTATCTAACCTGCTAATGAAAATGGGGTAAATGTAAAGTGATCGTGGGCCAAGAGCTGAAGAAAATGTTTAAGGGAACTAGGGCTTGTACTGGCCCCCTTTTAGACTGCAGTGCTTTGATTGAAGACACAATCTCTCAATACATCAGCTATCTCCATTATGTGTTTTTTAACAGAAAGTAAATTTACCAGTGTGCCTCTTAATTTTATATGGTCCTATTTAGTGCCTTTTGGATAATAATGTAACAATGTAAATAAGCTAAGTGATAACTGCTCTGGGTCATTTGTATTAGTTTTATTGAATCTTGGCTTAGAAAATGTTAACGATTATTTTCATCACTACAAATTGGCTTTCCGTGTCTTGTTATTAAGCTTTAACCATTTGTCATGACTTACAGGTTTCCCTCAATTTATGCGGGTTCTGTATATGTGAATTCGCTTTTATGCAGTGACCCTTTATACCCAAAACTTGTTATATGTGAGGTAAATTCACTCTTATGCGATTGGCATAGGTGCCCCACCCCAAGCAGGTAAGTCTGTGTGGGGAGTGGAAAGGGCTGAGGGGCCGTGGCCCCACTCACCCGAGCCCCTGCTACAGCTGCTCTGGGAGCGGCTGACACCAGCTGCCTGCGGCCGCTGGGCTACATCATGCCCCAAACACCCCGGGGCTCCGCTTGTCCCCGCTCACCCCAGCTCCTGGGTTGTGCTGTTCTGTGGTGCAGGCAGGTGGTATTGGCTACTCCTGGGTCTGCTGCAGCAGGAGCTGGGGTGAATAGGGACAAGCGGAGTCCTGGGTGGTTTGGGGCACAGTGCAGCCCAGCGGCTACGGGCAACTGGTGTTGGCCACTCCCAGAGCAGCTGTAGCAAGGGCTGGGGTGAGTGGGGAGAAGTGGAGGCCTGGGTCTGCAGCAGGGAGAAAAGTGGAGGGAGCTGTAAGTGGATGCTGGCTGGGTGGGTGGGGCACAGTTCTTGCTGGTACATGCACCCCAGGAGGGCTGCGGGGCTGCACTGGGCTCTTCCCAGGGAGCACATGTCCCCGGATCTTGTATACAGGATCTCTTGTATACAGGACAAGAGTAGGCTGCTGTTGTGGGCTAGGGCTGGCAGTGGCACTGGGCTCTTCCTGGTGCTTGGTGACGGTGCTGGAAGGGCAGGTTGGGGAGGGCTATGCTGAATTTTGGGGTGGCAGCAGCCCCCCTCCCAGCGCTGCCATCCACCCTGAGCACTGGGAAGAGCCTGGTGGTGCCACTGTCCGCAGCTTGCAACAGTAGCCTGCTCTCGTCCTGTGTGCAGATCTGGGGGCACGTGCCCCCCAGGAAGAGCCTGGCGCAGTCCCTCAGCCTGCAGCCCTCCTGGGATGCGTGTAGTAGCAAGAGCTGCGTCCTCCCCGTCCCGTGCCCCACACCCACTGACAGTTCCCTCTGCTTTGCTCCCTGCTGCAGCTCCTCTGGGAGTGGCCGACAGGCTGCACCACACCGCACCCCACCCGCCCCTTCCCTAGTTCCAGCTTTACTCCCTGTCTCGCTGCCGTGGGAACATATCCCTATTTCTTACATTGTAAACTGTGTTTCCTTTACGCAGATTCGATTTATGCGCCGTTTTCCAGGAATATGTGTACCTCATAAATCGAGGGAAACCTGTAATTCCAATCCTCTAATGCACAAAGTAGAAGTAGGAGTTCAGCTGTGCCCCCTTGTACTTTTAAAATGTCTCCATTTGACATTTAAAATAAAAATATCACATAGTTTGTTAACTATTTAAATATTACCAACATCTGTTCTTAACTGAACACACTTCTTTTAGCACAATAGCCTAACATTTCCCATGCTCAGAAACAATTCTATAAACTAGAATGGGTATTGGTATGCAAGATATCCTGATTCTGGTGGTAAATGTGGACATTGTGTCCACTGATATTGACAGGAGAGATGAATGCAGAATTTGGTCAGAGTTTTCTGCTAACTACTTAATTGGCTTTTTTGGCCTTAAAAATATTGTAAGGATTAATATTACAAAATTGCATGTTTCGAGAAATAAGCCAAACTCTAGTAGACAGGGTTTAGGAAATCTTTTTCCTTGCGGACTGATTACCCCAGTTTGTCCACCAATCAGTTTCTTGAACCTTCTTTGCAAGTATCTGGAACTCTTAGCCATAAGAAACAAGATACTGATACTGGTGGACCAGCGGCAGGTCCAGTCAGGTAGTTCCTGTGTTCCTTTAGAGTGTAAGATAAGGAAAACTTTTTGAGGCGCAGCTAATTAAGTCTCATAATTTCCTGGTGTAAAATGACTACCTATAGCAATCTTGATTTTTCTTTGTCTGGTATAATTTTAAGCAACGGAAATAACGGGGGTTTCACCAGTTCCCTCGGGAGACCTATTAGCTAATTATTAGATCTCATTGGTAGGATACCTGCTTTCCATCCTCATTTTTTCCTTTTGTTTAATTTCATCCCATTGATTTTTACCTGTTCCTCTGCCTCTTGCATATTTACACACTTCAAATACATATAGATGATGGTCTAATCCCAACCTCTTTGTTTAATCAAGATATAACTATTTACTTTTTTAATAGAATACAAATAGTAGGTATAGAAGCAAGTTAAAAAAAATTATGCAGAAAGGGTAGGAGCTATTAAAACCATTTATGTCTGCATTGTTACTGAAGAGCCATTCTTTTTGTTGTCATTAATTTTATTTTAACTGATTCTTGCTTCAGAATATATGAATACACGTGCCCTTGCCCCTCTTTCAAATGAACATTTTTACAATTTGCAAATCAAACACTCAAAAGATAAGAATTCAACACAACCCAAATTAATTATAATGTGTCCTAACTTCTCAGTGCTTGACTTTTGAAATCTTACTGTTCTTCTAGTTAATTACACAAAACGGTTAAGTTATTTTTAAAAAGCAAAGTGAAAAAACATAGGCCAGTAATGGAGTTGGAAACTTTAGATCTACCACACAGGCTTCTGCCACTGGAGCTAACAGAGTAACTGATAGCAATAGTAGGTTGTTGTGCTCTTTATATGGACCCAGCATCGGAGGGGGATGGGAAACTTCCTGGGTTCCATTCTCCTTAAACAGCCAGTCTCAGTCTCCACTACATGGCTTCCAGTCTCCCCACCCAGGCTTCTTGTCCCACTGTCATGAGCAACCGGTGCCTCCCAAGTTTGGAGGGGCACCAGATTGCCGACGGGGGGGGGGGGGGCCCAGTGGCCAATCGGGGGCAGGCATGGGTCCCCCAGCGGTTGATTGCTGAGCCTGGAACCACCAGCGGCGAAACTGGTGAAACCAGAAGTGCACTTCCGCTGGCACTTCCGGTTTTGCAGCTGGCACTTCCAGGGGTTGCACTGCCAATCTCAGGGGGTGCACATGCACCCATGTGTGCCCCGTACGTATTGCCGATGCCCACCATACTCCTTTGTGACATTTTTTCAGGGCTGGCTCTTGCCTCCTTTGCATTTGGATCAGGCAGCTCTCTTCACTCTTCAGCTGAGGGGCTGGTGGGTTCTTCATGACAACGAGGGAGACATTCCCTGCTTTTTGTTTTGTCGTGCAAGAGCCAAGTCCTGACTTGCAGTCATCCAGAGCAAGTCCTGCTCAGTCAGACAGGAGCCTATATGCAATGTTTGGTGATTTAAGTCTCAAAACTTCTACAGGTTTCTGATGAACATGTGAGCTGCATTTTTTTTTAGAGCTTGTAATTTAACCATAAGTGGACTGATTGTTTTCACCAGCAGTCAAAGGCATGTCCCTGATGCAGGCTATCTTTACAAACATCCAGATCTGTGCTTCAAAGTATGGGGATGCCATAACTTATAAAGAAAAGATTGCAGGAATGTTGTAATGCAGGCAA